CAGTTTGTATCAAACCATGGTTTGCGTATGTGCGGGTTTGCAGAGGACTTAGGAATGGTTTCGTCTCCAATAGTATTTAAGATATCAGAAAGTAGTTCAATGGGATCAGGAACATTCCTGAAGTTGTCCGGTATAAGCTTTTCAGAGCAGAGAGTTTGGAATAATCGCCAATTGGCCTTAGTAAAATTCCATCTTGTTGAAGGTGGTTCATCCGCGGGAGTGATAGGAGTAAGAATAGTTGGGAAGTGGTCACTTCCACAAAGGTCATCGTGGACCGACCATTCAAACTCGTTTAAGAGATAAGAATCCATAAGTGATAGATCAAGTGCAGAGTATGTTCCAGTGGCAGGATGGAGATAGGTGTTTGATCCATCGTTGAAGATGCATAGATCATTATTGGAGAGAAAATCTTCAAGAACCTTTCCCTTATTATTGGTATCAGTACTCCCCCATAGTGGGTTATGGCTGTTCAGGTCGCCCATGATTATGCAGGGTTTTGGGAGTTGATTATACAAGTTCTGAATATCTGATAGGTGGACAGTTGAGGAGGGAGGAAGATAGAGTGAGCATAGTGTAAACCCTATGTTCAGAGTCATGCGGACAGCAACAGTTTGTAGGTTGGTGTTAAGTGGAACAGGGCTATGGAGGATGCCCTGCCTCACCAGGAAAGAAATGCCTCCTGTAGCTTTTACACCGGGAGGAGAAAAGGAGTGGAAGGAACTGTACCGACGGATGTCAAATTTATCAGTCCTTTTTAGGTAGGTTTCTTGGAGACAAAACGCGGATGGTTTGAAGTCTTGAATCAATAATTGTAATTCATTATTATTATTCTTAAGTCCTCTGCAATTCTATTGGATCATGTTTTGTGGATTCATGGTGCTTCCACTGGTGACATGTCACGTGAACGTGAGAAAGCGTTTGATGATCTCCTATTGGTGTCAGGTGGAGATGGAGTTACCTCCATATCCAGAGGGCCAAAGGAGTTATGGACCTCGACGGAGAGCTCTGAAGGAGAGGTGGCCTTTGGTTTTGTGTTTGGCAGTTGCTCAAGTTGCTTTAGTCTATCTAGCCTCTTTTTTTCCCGCGCAGTTTCTGTTTCTGGTTTTGGCATTTGTTCTGGGGTTTGTGATTCAGAAGTTTTGACTTTTGGCGTTTGAGATGGAGTGGCTGAGATGGGCTGAGTTGAGTTGAGTTGAGTTGGTTGAGAAGACATGACCCATGTCAGGTCGGTCTGACATGAGATAGTTGCAGTAGTGATAGAAGGACGGGAGACAGCAGAAGAGTAGGTGATGGTTGAAGGGGCTGCAGTTAAACTTGCAACCCTCTTCTTAGCTTCATGAAAGGAGATATTTTCTTTGTGCTTGATCTTTAGGATCTTGGATTCGCGTTGCCACACTGGACACACCTTGGAAGAGGCCATATGGTTACCACCGCAGTTTGTGCACTTCACTTCCTTAGTACAGTCGTTGCCCTCATGCTTGTCACCACAGCGGTAACAAACAGCAGAGGAACGACAGGACTTGGATCCATGTCCAAACTTTTGGCAGTTGTAGCACCGGAGTGGATTGGGGACATACACCTCCACACCAATGCTACAATAACCAGCTCTAATCGAGTCAGGAATCTTTGCTCGCGCGAACGTAAAGAGATAGGTGTTTGTTGGTTGAACAACACCGCCCTTTTTGAAAGTGAATCGTTTTACGGCTGCGACGGACTGCTGAGAGAGTTCCTTGACAATTTGTTCTTCAGTCATGTCAGACAGGCATCGAGCTCTGTCCCGTACAATGCCTCTACACGAGTTAAGTGTTTTGTGCGCTGAGACAGCAACCTTGATGTTGACAAATTCTTGTATCTTGAGGAGATTCAAGGATTGTTGTTTCCGAGTACATTCTATCAGGAGAGAACCAGATCGGAGCTTTGTAACATTGGCAACCTCTCCGCAGATACCAGCGATACCTTTGGAGATAGCAAATGGGTTCAGTTGCAGAGGTTGCTTGTCACAAGCTTCAATGATCAGGAAGTGTGGCCAGTAGTCAAGTCGGAAGGGCGTACTCTCTTCAGACAAGGAGTTGTCAGAATCCATGTGTCTTCGTTTTGAACCGGGGTATTGGGAAGCCATGTCGTAAGTAATGTGGTTCGGCATCCCCTCTCCCCACCCACCGTGGGGTGTCAACAAGGACGATCTTATATTGCAGAGGATCTCCAAGCTGCAAAGACCGGGGATAAGGGTGTGTTATACTCCAGCGAATTTGACATGAAATGCTGTAGCTGCCTACCAGATTAAAGGTCAGGATGGTTCTGTCCATGACAATCACTTGGAGACGTACAGAAATCGGAGGTCAGCATCACCAGATTTGCGCATGATCCACCGCCTTCTGTGCATGGGTCTGCGAGGCTAATTTGTTTTGGAAGAATATCAGTTAACATTTTGATGCCAAAAGTGTTATGTGATACCAAATTCTGTATAGACATTCCATGCACAGGGCAAGGCGTGACCAGCCGATTGGTAGAATCGGACCTATTCTACCACCCGTCTAGGCAAAGTTAGGGTCGAAGTGGTGTGTTGGATTATTGAACACTATTGCCGGTTCCGTCATCCTCAACCACCAGACTCCCTTCCTCTGCCGACACAGGGATGCAACCCACGGCAAACGGGTTGCCCAATTTGGTCGCCTCTTACAACCAGCAATGGGGTGCTGTGGATCTATTCGACCCCGGGTCCACACGGGGGTGAAGAGCCATTGGCGTTACCCAGCACCCACCACGAGGAGGTTGCTCTTCAAGGTTGCCCGCTCCTTTATGATAACATGAGGTTGACTCTGAAGAAAAACATAATTTGTAGGCATTCGTGTTTACGTAAATGCTTGGAAAATGGCAATTATCATTACAAAAGTCATGTTAACAATCCATCTGGAATATGAGCTGTTTAAACGTTACGACATACGCCACTGTCAGTTTAATTATGCCATAATCGTCAATAACTGACAGAGGACGCCGCAATTAGCAGAGTGACTTTAAATTTTACAATTGACATGATATGAGTCCATCTGGTATATTTGCTGTTTATGTGTTCAGACATATGCCATTTGTCAGTTTATTTTGAACTGTATGAGAAATTCAGGGATTCGTGTCAGGAACATGGTGTTGAACTATATACAATTAAGAATTGAATGTCACTGTGTGTTTGCACTGAAAAATGAACGATGTGAAAGCGTTGTTCAAACTCTCGTGTGAACTCGCTCGTAAACTCGCTCGTTCACACGAGTTTGAACAACACTTTGACATCGTTCCTTTTTCAGTGACATTCAATTCTTATAATTTCGCACTTTGATGTTTACACATACGTTTTTTACCCACTTCTACATGATTATTGTTTACAGTGATGTGTTTTAATACCTGTAAAATGTTGTAATGTCATTCTGTGCAAGACCGTATTGTAGCGATGTGTGTATACTTGGCAATTTTCTTACACATGTATCCCAACCCTTGAAGAAATAGTTCTCAAAGTATTCCTTAAAATATTACACCAAATTCGTCAATAGAGTTGAAACTGCTTAATATGCATAACATCAATAAAATTATCAAACAGAAACAAATATCAATAACAATATCATTTTAACAAACTGTCATTGTACCTATAAAACTATGACGGATTCGTTTGATCGCGTAATAATACACTGACCGACTTCGAAGTTGTGCAGCGTGGCGAATAGGAAGCAGATCTCGTTGGTGTATTCTATTTATTTGTGATTGTTTATTGTGAAATTTAATGAACAGTATTTAAACAGATTAAACTCTTATGATAAGGAACAATGCTCGGCAATATTGGAAATCCGTTTGGTGACATTGCCAAAATTGGGGTGACTTGAAACAGGATCGCTCGCTATATTGTCATCACCAAATGCAGCAAGATCATTGGGGTTCCTTGAAACACTGTGCTCAGTTGGTGCTTTTTTGTTAAATATAAAAACAAGTAAATGATATGTATAAATTAAAAGGAGTGTGAATGCAAATGATTTATTGATACGTATGAACGATGTTTACACACGTATGAACGATTTGAAGGGTTCAAGGGAAATGAACCTTGAAATTTAGATCACATGACCGCTCTCTCAACCAACCAACGTTTGGGAATCTGTGTAAACTTAAAGTACGAAATTATTTGATTTTATGGGCGAAATATAGCCGACATACATGTGACGTGATTTTATAAACACTTTTATAAATGGCTGAAAATTCACTTTGATGTTAATTGTGTTTGCAAGCGTATTTTCCAAAACATTCTCAGCGATTGTTGGTTCATCGACAATGTTTCAGAACGAGCATTAGTGATTTGATCATACAACAACAATACTAAGGGTGCAACGATACACCGGTACACGGGTGCATCGCGATCTATGGCATACGATACGATACGCGATACATTTTTGCCCGTGAATCGATACCCTACGATACAAAACTGTAAACAGTGTTTTGTGTGCTGTCAATTACAGTAAATGATCTTGTTCACATAATATAGCGTCCGTGTTGTGAACATTGAATTGAATAAACGCATCTTACCTGAGAGTGTCTATATTTGTCTCTGTTGTACAAGTTAGATCAACGTTCGGCACAAAACTGCTGTATTCGCTCAAATGTTTTTACTATACGTTCCGAAAATATCCAGCCTTTTTTTCAGTGACAAAACGTTTATGATCATAAATATTTTCCATCAAACGATAAAGCATACCTATCATCGGGATATACTTCTTTTCATAGCAATCAATAAAGCTTGTGTTATTAATAATTTGACAAAAATTGTTAATAATAAAATGTTCTGCATGAAACCATGACTCGAAACACTTCACACAAACACACCTTTCCAGGAAAACGAAAGTACACAGCCATGCTGTTTGTTCATTGGTGGCCAGTAAAATGAATGACCAATCAGATTGCATTACTGCGAATGTCAAGCTCAAGTTCACGGTCAGATGCCATGTGCTTTTTGAGCTGTCAAAACAATGTCTGAAGACGGACTGGTAAGCAGCGAAATCAAATGTGAAGTCGAAAAACCCCCGGCTTCATTCAAATCTTCTGTTTGGCAAGCATTTGGTTTTCCAATTGAATACATTAACGGTAAGAAACTTGTTAAAAAAGATGAGACCGTCTGTCGTCTGTGTTACCTGCGAATCAGGTACACGGGGAGCACAACTAACATGTCCACACATCTTCGGCGACATCACCCCGATATTGATTGCAATGATTATGGACAATCAAAATGTTCAAAACCTTTCAACATTTCTGACGATAAGAAACGCACATCGTTAGCAGGTCAACTTAGACTTAGTGAGGCTTTCAAGACCAAACTGTCGTCTCGTTCGACACGGGCGCAAGCAATAACAAATGGAATTGGTACATTCATTGCGATGGACATGCGACCTTATTCAGTTGTAGAGAACATCGGTTTCAAGTACCTCATCCACACACTTGAACCGAGATATGAAATCCCATCGAGAACCCACTTCACGAATTATGTGATACCTGAAATGTACAAGAAAGTAAAATCAAGTGTGATGGAAAGTATTGCTCGTGCGTCATCAATGGCTGTCACTACTGATGGTTGGACCTCACGTTCCACCGAGAGCTATATTACCATCACGGCTCACTATGTTAACGAAGACTGGCAACTTGAAAATCCGGTACTTCAAACACGAACATTACATGAGAGCCACACTGGGGCAAACCTGGCTAATGTCCTGGAATCAGCTGTTGACGAATGGAACTTAGGCAAATTTTCTCAGATTGCCATAAGCACAGATAATGCTAGCAATATTGTTAGTGCTGTAAAGCAGTCGAGATTTGCACCTCATATAAGGTGCTTTGCGCACACAATTAACATAGCAAGCCAAAAAAGCCATGCAGGTGCCGCAGATGTCCAGAATTTTGGGGGAGAGTGAGAAGAATAGTTTCATTCTTTCACAGAAGCTCACATGCTGCATCTGTTCTCAGGTCAAAACAGTTACTTCTTGAATTGCCCGATCACAAACTGATCCAAGATGTTCCTACGAGATGGAATTCTAGCTACGACATGCTTCAGCGATATATCGAGCAGCAAGCTGCAATCTTTGCCACTCTCACAGTGAAGGATATCAGGAAAAATGCAGACACCCTTGTTACTCTGTCAGAGGAAGATGTCCGCGCAGTAGAAGATGCGGTAAATGTTCTTCGACCATTGAAGACAATAACAACAATCCTCTGTTCAGAGAAAGTGCCCACAGTTTCCATGATTCTACCATTAAAGGAGCTTATTCTGAAATACATGGCTGTCACTGAAAGTGATTCTGGCCTTGTCAAGTCTGTGAAGTCGGCAATTGTCAAAGATCTGAAGACCAGATATACTGAGCCTGACATCAACAAATTTCTACAGGAAGCAACTGCCCTTGACCCCAGGTTTCGATCACTACCCTACCACAATGAAGCCAACCGGCTTCTTGTATTCAGTGCCCTGACCATGAATGCGATCAAGATGGCAGAAGCAAACAAGGTAAATAAACAGTTCAACAATTGAATAATTAAAATACTGTTAATGTAATTAATTAATGCTTTAAATATTTAAAACAAAAATTCCACAGAAAAAGGTGTTTCAAACAACAAAACTTCATCTTAATTTGTTTCTGAATATTGAATTTTTTTTATTACACAAAATGATTGAAATTCTGAATGGTAAAAACGTTTCAACAGTGTATTATGATCAATTAATCATGCTACATTTCAAATATCACTTTAGACATTTTAGCTGTCGGTTGAACTGTTATAATTCTTCTTTCAGGATGAACTGGCTCCAGTGAGAGTGAAGGAGGAACCGAGTCATCCCACAGATGAAGCGATAGCACAGCCCCCCCTACCTGTATTGCCTCAAACCGACAGTCAGCCCCCTGAGTGTAATGACACTGAGACTGGTGGGACACAGACTTGCACTTCAGACTCTGTTTCTGACTCTGAGACACCAGGCCCATCACAACCAAAGAAAACCAAAAGTGCAATTGAGGAGATATTTGGGGAGGTGTTCATTACACATGTGCAAGAGGCAAAGCCACTTTCTGCTTCCATTGAGGAAGAGGTGCAGAAATACAAGCTTGAGGAATGTATTCCATTAACTGAAAACCCCCTGCTTTGGTGGAAGATGAACGCAGTCAGATTCCCAGCCCTTGCCGGTCTTGTGAAGCAGTACCTAGGAGTGTGTGCTACTTCAGTCCCCAGCGAGAGAGTATTTTCCTCAGCTGGGGATATTGTCACTGCTCAACGTGCTTCACTTTCAGCTGAAAATGTTGATGTTCTGATTTTCCTAAAAAAAAATATGAAACTTTAATTGTAACAGAATTATGATGCATGAAGCACACTGAAAAAGAGTGTGTAACCATTTGTCTGTTTGGCAATGTTGTGTTAGTCAGATTTTCAGACTCCTTGAAAGTGTCAAAGTTTATTTCAGAATATCCAGATAGCTGACTGCTGTTAAAGTAACAGATTTGTTTAGTGTTAACTTTTAATTTTAAAACAAAAGTAATTGTTTTCAGGTACAAGAGAATTGGAACAGCTTACTAACTCTGATTGAAGATTTCTTCTTCAATTCAAATAAAAGTTGTATGCTGATATTTTGTTATTCTTTTTATTTTGTGTATCGCGATTCGTATCGAATCGTGGCAGCAGTATCGAGATATGTATCGTATCGTGGACCACCTGCATGGTTGCACCCCTAAACAATACCACCGCTGATCACAATGATAGGTCTTTTTCTTTTCAAATTCAATTCTCCCAGTAAAAATTTGACAATTAAGACACGCAAAACGCAGTGAATGGTGATGTAGTAATGTGACAAAACTGGCGAGATTTACGATGCATGTAATTTTCAGTATACTTGACCTACAATGAGCGGATGATATAAAAAACGAATTTCAAACAGAGTTCAAAAGTGCAAATTGCATTTATTTTCGTGATGTACAGGGATATGGTATCGATATCAAAGTGAAGGTGGAAGAGGAGGGACATATTGTACGATTTAAGTAGGAATTTTAGTAACAAACGTAGAATGCCGGCGCATTCGCCGATGGCAAGCTAGATGAAGTGCACATTTCAGTTTTTGTGAAAAAAGATACCTTTGAAAAGGCGACCGACACTGGTTGAATGTTATACAATTTGGTTACGTGGTAACACATTTAGTACAATGTATACGTTTTTTCAAACTGCAACGTCATTACAGTGTAGAACTGATGACATAGCCAGCTGACGGGCCGGCAACAGGTGGATTAAAACAGTAGCCTGCGCACCGAGACCCAAGAACCGCACCAATACCTGCACCACGTGAAATGGGTCTAATTAGGTCTAACAACGTCATTCGTTTATCATTTGGGCACCAATGACGTAATTTCCAAGGGACATAAGCAATGGTGTGTTTATTGTGGACACAGAACTCTCGGTAAATGTTAAAAATATGAATTGATATAACGCAAAAAATAAATTAGTTACTTCTGATATATGTACGGGTTTGGATATAAAACTACTTGACAAACATTTTTCATGATGAAAAAGTGCAAGACAAGCAGGTTTATTTTCGTGTACAAATGCCCTTTAAGGTTTCACTGTATTAATACATTCTCACAGCCATAAGCATTAGTTTAGGAAGCAACATCAATGTTCACAAACTTTGGAGTCAGTCAAAATTAAATTGTTGCCAATTTTCTATCAGCGGCCCCCATGTCATATATTCGACTCCAAGGTTTGTTTGCAGTAGTTGTCTCGTCGCATGGGTGACGTCATAAAGCGTGACGTCACGACTTTGTGGGTAGGTTTTGACGTGAGTGAGAGAATAAAAGATGGCGAACTACACCAACGCTTTGCTTGTCTGTGATCCCCAAAACACGGGCGTGCAGCAAGGCCAGAAATCCCCCATACCTGTTATACGCTTGTAGGGCGTCAATCCAACAGAATACCAACTTAAGTTTTTGACTTGGCTAAGTCAATTTTAAGAAACTTAAGTTTTATCTTAAGTAAAAACTTAGTTGTTTGATAAATACGGCCCCAGCAACACAATGAAGACGAATGTGGCTTTCAGTCAGGGCTGAATGATTCAACTCCGCACAGTTAATTGTGGCGTTTTTGTGCCACCCATATCTGAACACACAAACAGCAAATATACCAGATGGGCTGATAACATTACACTTATTTGGAATGAACATTGCCATTTTATAGGGATTTCCCTTTACGAACACGAATGTTTACGAATTGTATTGTGGTTTTTTTTCAGAATCAACCTCTGCTCCCATTGAATTTATATACGTCGTATGTCTCAGTATGTTAACTACTTGGTATTATATCGTGCCATATATTTGCTGAGAATCGCCCCTTCATATCAGGTAATTCGTCAAAATACGTGCTCCTGTTGAAATAGCCATAGAAAATAAGTGACATGTGACACACAATGCCACACAAATAACATGTGACCAATAATCAGTCAGATCAAAATGACCAAAGCTGCAACGTCAAAAACCAAATTCATTGTTCGTAACGATAACTCTCAGTGTATTGTGATAGGTATTTGACACAATTGTCAAGCTTGGGGGCGGTGGGGTAGCCTAATGGTTAAAGCGTTGGCTCGTCACGCCGATGACCCGGGTTCGAATCCCCACATGGGCACAATGTGTGAAGCCCATTTCTGGTGTCCCCCGCCGTGATGTTGCTGGAATATTGCTAAATGCGGCGTAAAAAAACAACTCAGTCAGTCAGTAAGTCAAGCTGGAGTACACCAAGGCAATGAGTAATGGTTGTATACATGATATGTTGTAACAGAAGAGTAACATTTTTAACAAGTAATCGATAACAAGTAACACACAGATATTCAGACGAAGCAAAATGTACAGTACGAACCACAAAGAGCACACAGCAAGGATTAAAAGTTGTACAAGCTGATTGGATACCTACAAAAATACTCTATTGCTTGATTTGATTTTCAATGACAGACGGATTGTAATGCAATTGATTTCTCTCGATCAAAGGTTTGTGAAGGCTGATTTCTACAGCATCTGAGATTGCTGCTTTGTATAAAGTTCTGAAGTTAGGTAGAGAGGATAATCAAATCAAACAGTCACCCCTTCTCAGAATAAAGCCATTCAAGTCTGATAAGGAGAACATGTGTCTCTGGCACTCTGTCCTGTGTCGATGAGGACAAAAAAGCATACACAACGTCAACCACATTTAACTGGTGGATATTTGTGGGGCGCATCACTCGCTTTTTTAGAACGGAAACAAATGCTTTCCATGATCACTGCATTGAGGATTTCGAAGATTTTGATGTGTGAAGGCTGATGGGCAGTATTAATGCTCTGCATGGCATGGTCTGTCTGTGATATTTTGTATATCTACACTGTACGATATTTTGTATTTAATCCATATTTATAGGCACAGATATATTGATTGCAAAGAGTTTGTATCCCTGATGTCTCCGATAGAAGCCTGTGTCTGAGATTAGTCCAGTTTATTTTAGATTCATTGAAATCAAAATGGAGAGAGTTAATATAATTCAATATTTAAAATTTGTTTGGCAATGTTACTTTGCTGTTGTTTTTCCAGGCCAAGTGGAAGATGTTAACAAATCTTGCCAAGGGAGATTATCCATGTAGAGATCGGACCGATGTCTTTTTTTAGAGGATCAAAAATATGAAATTTGGGTTGCCTCTATTATTTGAATTAGATAACCAGGAAACGGGGGTTCCACAGGGCAGTATTTTAAAAGTGAAAAAACAGCCCTTATAAAGTATTAGATGGAAATATAATTATGATTATTCTTTATTTGTTAATGATTTTAATATGTCATGGCTTGATGCAAATAACAAATTAATACCATAGAGCGACTAATGCAACTGTCTCAATAAAATACAGAACTTGCCAATAGAAAACGGTTTCAAGAATTCCAAAACCCAAAGCAGTTGTATCCATTTTTGCAACAAACTTATACTGCATAAAGATCCAAGACTGACTTTTGAATTACATTCCAATTAAAGTAATCATAGCTGCGAATGTTTTGGTTATTACCTTTGATGAAAAAGTATCTTTTATACCCCATATTAAAAATTGTAAAGAAAGATGTTTGAAAGTGCTGGATATCTTAAAGTTGGTATCAAATGCTAAATGGGGTGGAGACAAAGAACAAAGAAAAGCTCCTGCATGTCTACAAAAATTTAACCCTATCTTTGTTTAAGAAGAATAGAATTGCCATTATAATATATCCTAAACTTCGCTCCAGTCCTTTTATTCAAGCATTTAACAAGGTATCGTATCCCTCATGTCAGCTTTAATGTGAAAGGAAACCAAACCATTTGGTATTGATACATTGTCTATATGTGGAGACAAATGAACCCTGTCATTACAACATATCACTAAACTTCGCTCGAATACTTCTAATCCAGCATTTAATACTGTATTCACTCCTCCATATCAGCGTTTATGATAGAAAACCAGACACAGGTCCACCATTTGGCATTTGCAAACAGTCACATCTAAAACATGCTTATTTAAATCTTTCTCCTATTGAAGAACATTAAATGACTACAATGGCCCCATGGTACTATCCATCCTGCGGTCAACATGGACCTAAGAGCACTAAAGAAGTCTAAAACTAACCAATTGTTTTACCAACAAGCATTTCATAAACTGAAGGACCAATATCACTCTCATATCTGTATTTACACTGATGGATCCAAAGATGATATCAGCTGCAGCTGTTGGAAGCTTGCTTTTTATGGCAGAAGATCAGGTTATATCATCAGATTTAAAATACATTTAATGACCACCCAAAAAGCAGCTTGGTACTTTGTCATGCTTACATGAATATTTAGCTGAGATTTTAAAGAGACACCTCAGTTTTGCTAAGAGGTATCGTGTTTTGTTGGCTACCATGTTGCAATCAGTGGAACTATTCTAAATAAGCTGTTCTAAATAAGTCCACTTCAAGCGCAAAGTTCACCAAAGTACTCATCGTCCATTAGACATAATGTGAACCACTTCACTTTGACAATGATTGGAATATATCTAGCCATTAAGCCATAAAGTATAGAATGTTTTCGTAATAGTCAGGTTTTACAATGTCACTCATATTATTAAGCCAAAAATATAATCATAAAAAAGATATGTCTATCACGAATAGCTGCTTAATTGCCGAGGCGGCGTTACGCAGCTTTTACTCAATAATGGTAGCACCAGGCACAAATGCATGCAACAGACTCAAATCAATAAAGTTATACATGACAATAGAGTTATGCATGGATTCAGAAATCGCATGCTTAGTATCGTTGCATAACGAACAGAAGTTCCACCGAAGCTACTTTTATGCCAGTCTTGAATGGTCCCACCAGCTGACATTGGTGTGTATCTGGTGTGTAACTGATGGCCGCACATCCAGGTTCTTCTCGGCAGGCAACTGCACATCTCAGTTTTGACATTGAGCTGACCAAAACTGAGGATGTTGAGCCCTCGTTCAGGGACCGTGGTATTCTCTTCAGAAACGCAGCGTTTTGATCATCTGAAACAACACAGAGCATGGGATAATTATTTTCCCAAATTTGAAATAGAGGTTATACAGTAGAAAAGATCATCCAGTACTGACTATCCTCAGAAACAAATCCTGTCTGGTGCAAAGGGAAAAATAGCTGTGAAGAAATTATGAGTGGGTCGCT